TTCTCATTCTTTAATAGGTCGTCTTTAATCATCTATAATTATACTATAATTTGGACATTTAAAGCCTCCAGAAAAATCTTTAATCTGCATGCTGAAAGGAGAGTTTAGGTACATTTACTAAATTTAATCAAACTGATTAAATGTGAATAAAGCCGCCAATAACATCGCTTTACGTCACCTTTAACCATGATGATAGCTACTGATTTCGTCCTGTGGTTGTTCTAAAGAAAAGTTGTTTTATCAGACTAAAATCTTACATTTTCTTTACCTTCATTTTGATTTCGTCTATAATATTACATCTTCTGTAATACAACTGTAATCTCGTCCCTTTATATAAACATTGTCATTTGACCCTGGAAACGGTCAGTTTTGAACAGTCCAACGCGCTTTGCGAACGCAATGTCTGATGAATTAACATTAATTTTGCATAATTATATATACTTCAACCAATCACAATTCGTCCCAACTTTTCTTGGGAAATTCACGTGACTATACAAGCTTCATGCCACGGACTCGCAGACTATTTATGTCTTTATATAGTCTGCGCGCAGGCTAATAGATAACACTTTTACCATTTTGTTTCAACTTTTTAGACAAGGTTTGTGATAAATTAAATATAATTGTACTGATTGCTAAATGCTCACTTTTCCAAAAGTCTGGTTCACTGGTAGAATCTTTCAGTCAATAGATCAGTTGTTTGAGGGTGATACGCACTTGTAATGCGGTAATCAACACCAGTACGAGTGAAGAGCTCGTTGTTCACCTGTTATAATAAAAAATAAAACCCAAATTCAATTTAGTACTAACACGGCTTAGGGACATTCATTATTTATGACTGGTGGTGGGCTGGCAAAAAAGGGGGTGGGTCATGAGGTTTTTTTGACCGAGAAAGGGGGGGGGACCTAAAAATATTTGTTGAAAAGGGGGGTCCAGTTATTTATTAAGTGGTATTATAGCGGAAAAAAATTTGACATGTAACGATTATTGCTACCACAGGGAGCGAGCAAGGCAGCAAATTTAATTCGTGTATAGCTAGCAAATCAATTTTAATCAACATATAGACCCAAAATGCAATGCACAAATACCCAAAATGCAATGCGCGCAGCTAACATGAAAAATAAGCGAACATCTACCTTTATAACTTTTGCCATGAACTCGCCAAAAATTTTTGTCATATTTCAATTATGTACATTTTAATAAAAAAGATAATTAACGAGTAAGCGATGTAGCAACATTACGTCCAGGGAAAGTTTGGCATATACTATATACACTAGTTTATACTAGGTATTTTATACATGGTTTAATTTAGTACGGAGTTTGTCGGTTTACTGTGTCAAGTCTGAGTCAAATCTGAGCCCGAGTCATATGCCCGAGTCACTAGCTGTTTAGCTGTCTTTGTAGTTCATTGGGGCTGCAGCCCCCCCCCCCCCCCCCCCCCCCCCCCCCCCC